CGAGTATCCGAGTTCTCTTCTCGATCATTAACCATTCCAACATAGCCACGGAATAATCGTGTCCTACACTGGGCTTAAAACTTGGGATTTACAACCCCAAGGTGGTTAGAAAGTTAACTAGCACGGTTACTCACGACTCCGTAGACGCAAGCGGACGCGCGTGGCGACAATTTGTTTGTCTGTGTAATTATTAAATCTTTACTTGGAAAATACTTGCCAGTAATATAAAACAGTTCTTTGAATTTTTAGGAAGCAATGAATATTGTCATTTCATCTTCGAGAAGAAAATATATATTGCAATGTCTGTATAAAAGTAATTTTAAGAATGAAACAAAAACTCTCTTTTCCTGAAAAAATGAATTATTTCTCATTAAAATAAAGTAGGGGTGAATTTCTTTTCTTTGAATAGTAATCTGCAAAACTAAAATTAAATCCTCGCGAAGACTTTTAATCCCCTACACTAAATACAAACTTTTCTGCTACTAAAGCTGAATACACTGTAATCGTTTATAGATTTTGTTTTGGTTTATGTATCAGTAGATTATTAGAGAGCTATCGTAATTATTTAGAAAAAGGACAACTTCCGAATTGAAACGTAAATTATCCTCGACTTAAAATTAACCTTCAAAGGGTTTGATCTGAGAAGTTATCACGGTGAGTCTATGATTTTTATTAACAATAACTCCTTAATTATTGGGAAACAAGATTATGTCTATATGACGTTATCTGCTGAAACTTGTATTTTAAATCAGCACACAAAATTTCTGTTTTTTAAGATGAAACACCCTTTATAAGGGTAGTTTTTTATCCTAGTAAATAGGTAACTCCACAATTAGATTTTCCGAATTAAAAAACCCATAAAACGCGTATTTTTGTAATGAATAACGTATAACTAACGAAGATATATATCTTAGCCACGTTTTTCGGCAAATATGTGTGCACGAGTAACATTTCCTGATTTTCTTAAATTTAACGCTTCTAATTAGTTGTCTCCAAACGTCTCCTTCAAGGGAATCTAGTGAAAAATAGTTAACTACAATGGTCAAATATGAATTTTGAGGCCGTGTTTCGGAGTATTTTCCAACGAATAGGGTTATTACGGTATCGTTCCGCGAGTCAATGGCCAATGTCTAGTGGACAACACTCCGACTGCTTCCTGACGTGAAAAATAATTTGAAAGTACCATTTTCTTAAATATATTTACCAGGTGTGGCAAATTATGAAGAAAATTTTCTGGAATTGTAAAAAACAAAGCAGATGTGCAGGTCAGTCGTGTAATTCGCAGATATTGCACAGAAGATACAATTGAAAAATAACAAAAATGCGTAGACCAGGAGAAATTATTTCTGAGATGGAAGCGCGGATGATTCAGCATTTGTCAGAAAATTATAAGAGTGAAAGAGATATGCAAACGTGTCGACCAGGAAAAATTTGTGAATAGACGAGAGTATTTTAAGTATGGAAACTCGAATATTCCGCGACGGAACACAGTTCGTTAGTGTGGTTTGTTAAGAACACCAGTGGAAATTTAAAGAAGTTAATAATTTTATATTTCTGATTGCGACACTGATTGTACATATTATTTATCGAGAAATTGTATTATAATAAATAATTTAAAATTCGCTGTATAAATCGTTTGTGGCACGTACTTTAAAAATTACATTTCTCATTGTAGTGTAATACAATTTTGAAGAGCTGTTTCGCGAGGCTGGACTAAAGAAAAGTGAGTCTAGACATTACGTTATTCATTTTAATAACGTGCATTTCGAAGCAGAGAGACGGAATATCATATTACACATCTGTCCACCAGCTTAGCGTACACTTTGCTGTCAGAACTAGGGATTCCACAAAGGGTGGGTTTGGTCGGACACAACGAGAATTTACCCGAACTCGCTCGAATCAAAGCGACACCCAGGCAGATTCCAGCCAATTATTCCTGTCATAGACATTCGCTGCTTAATCTCTTCATCCCGAATGGTACACATAGGTACCATGAACATTTTAAATCACCGACAAGCTAAAAAACGCCTTAAAGGAAAGTGTTCCCGAGTCTCGGGATGCAATAAACAGAGCGAGAGCCACACTGACAAAGATGGTCTTCCGACTAAACAGTGCCTTTCTCAGGGCACTCGTTTCGTAGCCTCCGTGATGACAACGTCAATGTAAAAAGGTTCTATCTAACACAGTTTTCCAACATTATTTAAGTCCACAAACGCCTATCCTACATCAGTGTATATTGGTAGTGTATATAAATTATTATTAGTGTGATAGGACTTCGATAGCTGTAAAGACTGTGAACTTTATTGTTAAGTACCTTCTGATGCCCCCGTGCTAGTGAACTCCGTGAACTTTGAGCTGTGCATTATGGCAGATCGTACGTCAATTAGTCGTGAGTGCAGTAGCGCGGAAAGGGGATTCCAGAACCATTTCGAATCGCGGCTTCAACGATTGGTGGCGATGATGGAAAAGGTACTACAGCAATCGTCAGCATTATAACGCGTCTAGGAGCAACGGAAGACAAGATCGCGTACACCACGACGAAGCTCAAGCTCCGGACGAAGCGCAGACGAAAATCGCGCGACCGGTCGCGTAGTTCGCAGCCACGATAATCGGTGGGATCGTATTGACCGCATCTCACAGATGCTGACTGCATTTAGCTCAAATTCGTGCGCGACATTATCGGGCTGGCATGACCGAGGGATGGATTAGCTAACTATAGTGCGGCTCCGACGAGTTCGCAGATTACCTACAAGCTGAAAAATTATAGGGAAAAGGGGACTTTTCCACTCACAATATTTGAGCCGTCTCAGTTTCCAACGCAGATGAACTGAATGCGACGAAGTGAGATGTAACGATAGAGAACGAAGTTGGCGGCACTATCAATTTTGATCTCTATCGTTACATCTCTGTCGAATTTGTGGGAATGGATGTATTTGAGTGTGTGAACAGATATACTGATGAGTGATGAATGTGTGTGCAATAGATGAATGACGCGACTGTGTGTGTGAGCGCGTTTTGAATAAATGTTCAAAGCATTGGAATATTCTAGATTATATTGATTTTCTCTATATGTTAATAATGTTCGTTTTTTTTTATGAATCTAGAATATTCCAAATATATGTGAAGTCAATGCATGGTAATGAAAGAATGTTCTAGAAAGTGTGTGAGTGAGACAAGAGCATCTGAGTATATAAATAGTGTGTGCGTTGTTCGAGTTAGTTAGTGTTTCACTGTGAGTTATCAAGAAATAATTATACTGTTTCTAATAAAATTCTCTTTCTCCTACAAATTCAGTCCCGTTTCCGTCATTTGTTACTGCCGCGCGGCCAATAACGATCATGCCGCGAATACCGAGACGGCCCGAACATTGTGAGTGGAAAAGTCCCTTGCTCCTCTGATTTTTTAGCTTGTGGGTAGTCTGCCAATTCGCCGGGGCTGCACTATACTGATCCTAGTATACGATTAAAATATCATACGCTTCTCACGTCAGTTTCATCAGATACCAAGCTGAAAGTGGACAGAGGCAAGGAGATTCTTGTATTCACGACGCTCGGACCACTTCGACTTTCGACGCGTGATCGTTATTGACGCACGGCGATAACAAAGGACGGAAGCGGGACTGAATGCGACGAAGTTTTCTATCGTTACGTCTCACTTCATAAGTCACTCTCTTTTTAAAAATTAAATGATCTTTTTATTTGTAAACCTTTTTTCGTGGACGAGAATTTTTTAAATTTATGAAAACTTGTCGACAAGAAAGCTTGAGTTAATTAATTAATTGGTAATAAATAATTCGAAGTTATTTAGAGTTTACATTGATTAATCTTGCTTTCTACATTTCTACGAATAAATCCAAAAGCCAATGAAACGTTAACCAGTTAACTGAGTTTGACGAGTAAACACGTCACTTTAAAGCTTGTCACGTTTAATTTTTGCAGATAAAAATGTAATTCTTCTTTCTTTTGCTTTGATTTCTTATTAAAACATACCCTAGGTGCATTCGTTCTTCGTTTGGTGAGTACACGCTTCATTTTTCGATCTTATTGCGCGCAAAACGGGAGATTTTTTAAACTAAATTGCACACTTAACAGGTTGACACATTGTTGACCGGTCACGAGTCACTTGCATTGGCTATTTCAATTTTTGAAACGCAGGGCAATATAGAATATTGCAAAAGTAAAATATGCAGGTTATTTAAAAAATATGTCCAAAGTTTTTCATTTCAATTCATTATGTATAAATAAAGTAAGGTAAAGCCACCAGCCATTGACCTGGTATCAGTGGTTAATTATTTTTCAAGAAAACGTAAGAAACAAGATTTTTAAAAGTAATAATCTTTCGGTAAAGCCGCAGTAGAAATGCTGCAGCATCTACCGCCCACCTCCGAAACACTTTTACCGGAATTAAATTCGTAAAGACTAACGGTTTATTTCATTGGCTGTGTTTGCATGCGTCCGTACTGTAATTTCCTTAACGTTATCGTTAAGAAATGATGTACATATAATTCAGGATAAGAAATTAACTCCTCTTCATCTGTAATTGTCCTTTTACTTGTAATTTCTCATAATCATTGCAAATAAACGATATTGAAGTAATCAGCTTTAGTGCCTTTGGTTTTAATATAAGTGGTCAACCACTAACTAACATATGGCCAATTACTAATTTTCTCGTTTTCAAGGAAGGTCAACTTCTGACGCAAATATAGAATTTTCAAAAATGTCTACAAAATTTGGATAATGTAACTATTTCAAGAAAGATCGTTTTGTTACGTAATATTAGAAGTTCAAACAGAATTTTCACACATTGGGTCTCTCTATTTAATAAAGGAGAAAAATTGTCTTAACAGATCAATTACTAGTGCTTTTACCTTATATTGAAGTTTATTTAGATACTTTCACTTTCATATATAATCACGGAATAATAACCGGTGACATGGGATAGCATCTGCGTAAAATTGCCGGTCAACAATGTGTTGCGAGTAACATGAATAATTCACTGACCTGCGCGTGGATGTATTTGCTGTATCGTCTGCTGTTAATGACGCATATTACCAGTAAGTTCGCGCAAAGGATCCCCAGGCTTAAGAAAAGGATTAAAATTGCACGTAACAGTTCTCCTGGTCCCGGCGAGGTCCAAGCGGCTTCGGACGTGTCTCTTCGCCAACAACTGCTGTTGCTGAGTGCAGGTGCGAGCATGAGTGTCGGCTTGTGCTCCATTTTCTCTTTGAGTACCGCTTTTAATATTTAAGATTACTTTCGATCTCCTAGCCCAGACGAGACGCTCTCGTCTCGTGCAAGGCAGGTCTGACACATGTGTTACTCGATAGATTTTCATCCCTGCTGTACCGCCAGTTTCACCGGGCTCGCTTTTTCATCATCTGAAACGATCACTGTGGTGGTCTTCCTCATCATCGCCAAACGAACAGCTTTCCTGTGATCAGCTTCTTCGCGCGCGTGTTACGGAGACGCTCTTCCGCAATATTATCGACTCAACGGTTCTTTATGTCCAGATTATCCGATTGACGATTTTCACGGCGAGGCTGATTCTTTAAGTGGCACATAACGTCAAGGCACGACGTGTTATGTTTCAACGAAGACACCTGAAACATAAAGTCAGTTTGTGACGTGGGAAACATTTTCAACTGTACGAGAATGTAGCTCTGACAACATGGCAGACTACCCACGAGTGGAAACGTGAGAGGGGTAGGAGGATTCTGCCACTTACGATATTCGAGTCGCTTCGGTCTTCGATGCATAGACGCTATTGGTGCACGGCGATAACAAGGGATGGAAGCGAAACTGAATGCAACAGAGTAAGACGCAACAATAGAGATCAAAGTTCATAGTGCCGCCAACTTCGTTCTTTATCGTTACATCTCACTCCGTCGCACTCAGTCTTGCTTCTGTCCTTTGTTACTGTAGCACGCCAATAATGACCATGCGTCGAAGACCGAGGCGGCTCGAATATTGTGAGTGGAAGAGTCCTCTCGTTGCTCGGACCTTTCCGCTCACGGGTAGTCTGTTATCTCGGCAGAGCTACACTATACACTATTAAAAGATAGCACGCTCTAAAAGTTATTAAACCTCTTTCTATTAAAAAAATAATACAAAATCTTTCTTATACACATTCCTGCATGATGCTTTTATAAAGATATACGAATAACATAAATTTGTTTAAGTTTGCTGGTTTCGCTCAACTTTTCGAAAGATTAAGTTCAACAAGATATTAATCTCCCAGTTCAAAAAGTTTGTGGGATGTTAATTGCTACATTTCGAACAATTGCCTAAGATAAACAGATACTTAATTATTTCATTGTTGTGGGAACGGATGTATTGATGAACTATGAATTTGTGTGCAATAGTTAAACGCGCGACTATGCGTGCGTGCGTGCGTGTGTGTTTGGAATAAATATCCAAGGCATTAGAATATTGTAGACTAAATTGAATTTTTGTAATATTGATTTTTACATATTAATGATGTTCATGTGAAATGAATCTAGAATATTCCAAATGTACGTAGTACATTCTAGAAATTGTGTGAATGAGATGAATATATCTGAATGTATATATTGTACACGCGATTTGATTTAGAGTCATTGTTTGGTTGCAAGTCGTGCACTAAAAACATTGTTTATGCAATTTAAATATTCTTTTTCTCCTACATTATTAATATTTTCGTTCCATTTTCATCAAGTAACAGTAGTTTACAACAATCAAGTGCTAAATCTTTGAATGATAGGCGCAAAATTTTGGAAATTGTGTTTGCTAATTGGGAACGGTATAATGAAGTACGTTTGCCATCCCATCTGTATCATGAGACAAACACATTGTAATTAGTAATTTGAAAAGCAGAATCGAAACCAGACCGTGTTTATTCGTTATTTTTGTCTCATATTGATACGAAAAATAATATTTTAGATTTTTCCAGCCTTTGGCGGTATACTATGAATATCAGGTCATTAATAGCTGGGTTAGTAGTTAGACCGACAGCAAATCAATACTAACGATAGCAACTCGTAAATTATAATGCAGTATAGAATAGTACCTAACATGTAGGTATCAAAAATATTGATATTCGTTGAAAATTACATAAAAGTATCAATATTAGCTTAATACCCGATAAAAGTATAGTATACATCATATAAATATGATTACTAAAAATATGTTGTACTGAATCTCCATTTAACTCTTTGCCCCCATATGTCATGCTGGAGATGACAATACAAATATGTCATAGGAGGTTGGAAATTATTTTACAAAGTACCATACTTTAAAAAATTATAAAAATTAAATCTTATTGTAATAATAATAAATAAAATGAATATAAAACGTTGAATTCTATCGCTGTAAATTACTTTAATTCATTTCTCTAGAAATAAGTACAAGTTTACATCTAACAAGGTTGAAAATAAATCGAGTGCAAAGGGTTAATTGTATCATGCCTAACGATTTATCTCTTTTACCTGAAAACGTGCGATTCGATTTATTGTCTCAATATACATGTAAAATTGGGACACCGTAGCAAACTTTAATATTAACAAAGTTTCATTAAACTGAATAATCGACCTATAGAACAAGTGTGCGTCTACTGTATGTTCGTCGAAGTGTCCTTTAAACTATGTTATACCATTCTCGCTTACGCTCTCCTCGCTTATCCTGTCATACTCCCTTCTGTCCTACTACCATACTTCCCTGCTGTTCAACTTCCACGCACTTTTGACGTTCGCACTCAATCACTCTTTCTGTTTTCCACATGCATCTCTTCTTACTTGCACCCTGCCCCTTGCATCAATAGCTAGAATTCTCGAAGTCACGTACACACTTTCCAAATCACGTAATTCTTACGATCCAGTCACTCGGTTGTAAACATTCATTTCTTGCATATCTTCAACCACTCAAGATTACCCCGTCTATAACCACGCTTTCCCCAAACATACCGGCGCCACCCCGTCGCAATATGACACCAGCCACACGCCCAAGCAGTCATCAATTCATAACTTGAGAAGTAAGCACTACAATGTAAAGTTGTTCCAATTACGTTCATTCATTTATTCTAACTTATTTATTAAATTTGTTGGTACAACTGCAATCATTATAATTATCATAAATACTGTAATAAGATGCCACACAATTCAAAGAAAGTGCAAAAAAGATAAATAAACCGAAACCCGAAAAGGTTCAAACAAATTCACCGCGTCATAGACTAAAAGTAGCAGTAATAACTCGATGAAACTTGTAGTATGATGATGGTTAATTACCATCTAGCGTATTCGTTTATCAGAGTCTTTATCTGCATAAAGTTACGTACAGAATTTGTTGGCGCACGAGTGATTGTGACGTGAATTGCGTATCGACGTTCGTAGAGTTCTCTATCGGTTCCCTAACGGTTCTCCCAGTTCAATCAGAACTCCGGCGACTGCCACGGCCTCCCCCTTATAAGGGAAATTCTCCGTGCTAAAGAGGAGTCCGATTGGCTTCTCGCCGACTGGTGGAAGTCCCGAAAAGGGGATCCCAACAATCAGGTAATTTTACAACTATCCACCTACTCTTTGCGCCCTCAGTGCCTTTCTTCAGAGCAGGGGTAGTTGTTTAATATTTTTTTCCTAATTATTGATGATGATGCAGAAGGATTCTCCATTTACCTCCTTGCTCCTGCTATGGAGGCTTACCAAGGAGAACCCCTATAGGCGTGGAATTGGGATGAGGCTCAATTAGCCGAGGCCAAAGCCTTACCAGCGTGGACTCCCGGGGATGACGACCCGGGAGGTAGACTGTTGATAGCGCCGAGCTCCTTTCCAAAGCTGTATTAAATCTCCTGTTCAGTCCAGGAACAGCTGGGACGTTGCTCACTCTCCGAGACCTTCAAAAAGTTTCTAGTCTAGTATGCGGGTTTTCAATCACTGTCACTACGAAGTCGACACCAATGTCCGGAGACGGTCGAAACCGTCGTGCACCCGAACTCCATAGTACCAATTACTATCGTAGATTTATTGGTGGGACCTATTTGATTTCTTATACAAGAATAAGCGACATCTTCCATATCGTGGTATATCGTTCATACCAGGGCTTGATTGGCCTAAATTGGGTACCCTGGCACCGTCAATTTCCTGTGGGTTAGTGATGATGCAGCGGAGTATCTTCCAAGCCTAGCCTAAGTGCGGCACACAGTCTTGAATTCGCGTAACCGGACTCCGATTTTTGCCGGTTGACGAAACCCAGGCGCACGCTTCACTTGGGCGCCTCGAGCTGCAGCCCTTTTGACGACCCAACATTTATAGCGCCTGCTTGCCCTATTGAGACTGTCATGGGAAAGCTACGTGGACCTATCTGTCAGCCAAATGTCTAAAGACGTTAAGGCACTTTCTCAAAAACAGCGTTCTACATTAATGTTACTGAACTCTCGTACGCTGAAGGTTTCTTTTTCGGTGCATTGTTAGCCCCTGTTTTGGCAAGAGCAAGAAATTTATCTAATTTTTGAAAGAAACTTTCACTGCATACCATGCTCCACTCGCTGAATTAACGGCAAGCGAATGTTGAGTGTACGAAGGGTAGATTACTATTAGTATTATTCTTAATTTATTTTTACTATAAGAATATTGGTAAGTAGTTGAATGTTTTTGAATTACTGCGGGTGTGTGGTGTTAAAGGTCTTTACTGATCGAGAGACTGATGAATTCTGTCTAACCGAACGTGTTAGCGACTTGTATTCGAACTCTTCTCGTTTCGTACCGTTTCGTCCACGTTCTTGCACCCCCGAGGCAACAAAATTCGCCGTATTTCCGATGCATGGAAGAGGAACGGCCACGGAAAAGCCTGGAATGCGAAATGTCGGCATTGTTGTGACAGGTTCCGTATCATAGGTGGGCACCTCTTTCCGGGAGCGGTCGTGCTGGCCCTGTCGAAGGGGGGTCAAACGTGGAAAGCCATCGCCTCCTTCTGTGAGGAGGTCATGCGATAGAAAGGGGCGGCGGAGAAGGAAAGAGAGGATACCTCTCATCCCTCTCGTCTGGGTGAGGGGGGAGGAATCGACGACGTCGCCACGCGAAAAGTCCTTCCATCTTAAGATTGTGGTCACTGGGTCGTGATTCCCACATGGGAGCCTGAGATCCGGAGACCCTGAGGGCCTGAAAAGTCTGTAGTTGAGGTATAGAGGTGGCTCATATACTGGCCCTGCGGAGGGAAGGACGCAGACGTTGTTGTTCGCGTGACATCTAAAGTGACGTTAACATGCAGTGAAATGTTTTCACACGGTTCAGGCATGAAACATTTTAATAAGTGCACCAGATGTTGCTGATTTACATTTGCCTTTCATGTAACCAATATCAGATAACGTTTGAAATGAAAATAATGTGGTAACAAAAAATACAATAACCTTAATGTAAAATAGTTAAATAGGTAAAATTAGATAATTATTTAGCACCATAACTACCAAGCATTAAATACGATTAATATGTAATCCCTATAAAAATTCTAACAATAGATTATTTTCAGTTTTTTCAGATGTTCATTATAGTATTCAAGTGAATCTATTTATTTTCAAGATCATTTCGAATATTCAATTCTTTTAAAATATTAATAATTGCGAAATAAGAAAACTATA